CCCCCCCCGTAACACTGGTCACTAGAATCACACCCGCTGTGTGCAGGCATTCAAAAATCTAGTGAGCTCTCCACAATGTCAAGCTAGGCAGCACAGTTTGGAGCAGTGCCGTCCAGCACAACTTTCTGTGGTGATGGAGGCAGTCTAGTCCACGCAAGTTTACAGGTTAAGCCTGTAGGGCCTGGAACAAGGCTGTTAGATACACAAATCCAAAGCCCACCTCCGGCCGGCGGTAAGACCTGACGTTTTCCCACCTCTCGGTGCCTCAACTCCCCCATCTGTAAAATGGACACGCTTACAGTGCCCGCCTCACAGCGTTGTTGCGAGGAGTGAATGAATAAATCGATACATACGTACCTACATCCAGACACACGTTATGCAAAACTTAGAACGGTGTCAAGCTCATGGCGAGTACGCAATAAATATCATGTGTTATCATCATTTCAAACATCACGTGCTATCGTTTTGACAGGGCTCGGAGATTTTTAACATTGAAACGCTTTTCTGAAGTTGTGTTTCTCCGTTTATGCGTTGGATACCCAGAAGGTTCCAAAAGAGCTTTCATATTTCACTGGAATATCTCCTGAAAATGATGTGGACTGTTTCAACTTGGAGTAAAACCCAACTAGGGCCTCAAAGAGAATGATGAAATAGTCCCTCCCTCCCTCCTCCCTGAGTGGAAATTGTGCGTATCAACGCGCAGTATATGAAGGCTATATTTATGCTGTAAAACAGTAATTTTCAAGAGGCCCACTTCCGCTGGAGGGAATGCCAGGGAGAATGAGTCATCGCATCCCGCAGGAACTGTGGAGGTGGGTGGGGTGGGTAACCTGAGCCAGGAATGGCGAGATCACCCTGCGTCCGTCCTCGGAGGCCAGGCCAACGCAGCCACTCTGCAGAGGAACCCTGAGACCAAACAGGAACTTCCCAGAACTCAATGTGGGAGTCTCCCTAACAGGGCAGTGTCGGGGGGGAACCTCACAGAGCTCTCAGTACAGGCAGACTCCTGCAGACAGGGCGCTGTCCGCTCGAGCCTGTGGCCTCTGGGTGACACGGCCCAGATGTGGGCTTAGGGGTGTGGGAACCACAAGTCACCTACACACAGAACCCACGGGCTGATGTCCACGGCACACACCAAGGACAGAAGGTGGGCAGAGGTCCAGGCAGAGGGTCGGACTTCAGGCGAACGGGGCCCATCAGGGCTCCAGAAGGGGTGAGGGTGATGATGGAAGGTCACTGCCAGGTGGTGAGGAAGCTAGGCAGTGGCTCGCTGAGGATGGGACGGCGGGGAGCCTTCTCCAAAGCCAGTGGGGGAGAGGAAGAGGAGCTCCTGCCTCAACCTGGACCCTGAGCCAGGCGTGCTCGAGGGAAGGCCAGTACTGCCCTGCTCCGAGGGCTAGAGAAGCTCACAGAAGACCACACACGATCGAGAGAGAAGCGGGCTCTAGCAAGCACCCGATATCCCTCCGGAGCCAGGAGCACAGTCCACTGGGAAATCTCCGTGATAGTCCGAACATCCTAGGCCTGTCTGTGAGCCGTTAGAAGGCGTGTCCGGCACCACTTAAGAGGAGGAGCCAGGGAGGTGATATCTTTGTGCAATCACTAGAAGAACCTGCTAACATTTTCGGAAACTGCAACTCCCCTGTTCGTCATATGCATTTCCTATGATGATTAGCAGGAAAGCCTTTAGAATGAAAATAGCCTTGGGGGCGCCCGGGTGGCTCAGTTGGTTAGGCATCTGACTTTGGCTTAGGTCATGATCCCCTGGTTTGTGAGTTCGAGCCCCGCATCGGGCTCTGGGCTGACCACTCAGAGCCTGGAGCCTGCCTGGGGTTCTGTGTCTCCCTCTCTCTCTCTGCCCCTCCCCCCGCTCGCACTCTGTCTCACTCTCTCAAAAATAAATAAACGTTAAAAAAAGTGAGAACGAAAAGGGTCTTTGTTCTCATTTTGAAGGCGTTGGGGAGTCTATGTCTACCGTGCAGCCACTTTTCAACAAAGAAAAGCCCTCGTAAATAGATCTATAGTGGCAGCTTCAAAAGGAAAGAAAATCGGGCTGCCTCTGCAGGTCCCTGGGGAGGAATGAAGGAATGTTTACTGGCTGCTTCGTTTTGGGATCCCCCACAAACACTTCTTTGTTCTCTGGACGTGTGTGGTATTGTGATTTATCATTCCGAAAGGACTCGGAGATGTTAACGTTCAAATACTTCTCTGAAATTGTGTTTCTGCACTGATGCGTTTGATACGTACAAGCTTCCAAAAGATCTTTCACATCCCAATGCCGTAGCTCCCGAAACTGACGTGGACTGTTTCAGCTTGGAATGAAACCCAACTTGGGCCTCCCAGAGAATGATGAAATAGTACCTCCCTAAAATACATATACATCGCTCTTTGTCCCCGTTCTTGGCACGGGGTTGCTGGCACCCGGTACATTCCCAGGTCATAAGAACAGTAGGAGTACCATTTATTCTGATGAGGCGACTCTGGGTGGGCTTCTGGATGGCTCCTAGTCGACGGCCGGTCACCAGAAAGACCAAACCGCGGTTAGAAGCTTGGAATTTTCAGAGAAGGGAGAGGGTCAGGAAATTGAGATAATGGTTGATCAAGCCCACATGAGGAAGCCTCCCTGAAAACCCCAATACCTTGGGGTTCAGGGCACTTCCCGGATGGAGGGTGATGCACCCCAATTCCTCTGGGACAGAAGCTCCTGCATTCGGGGTCTCGTTCCGGGTATCTCTTCATCTGGCTGTTTGTCTGTATCTGTTATCATATCCTGTATTACACTGGTAAACGTAAGTGTTTCCCTGAGCTCTGTGAGCTATTCTAGCAAATGATCAAATCCAAAGGGGAGGAGGTCATGGGAACCTCTGATGTGCAGCCACTTTGGACAGAAGCTGTGGGTAACCTAGGTGACTAGCTGTAGGCCTTACCCTGGAGGGCCTGCTGCTGTCTCCAGGTAGACGCAGAACTGCTGGGTGGGGATGCCCTCCCCCCACAGGCACATCTGGCGTCAGCGTGTGCTCGCGGTGTGAGACAAAGGAGACACGCAGGAGGAAGGGGAGATTTTTCCACTGCAACACGAAGTGCCCCTTCCCTCCTTCTCCTATACCCTGGAAACTCCTAGTCACCCTCCAAGATCCTTTCTTTCTCTTTCTTTTTCTTTCTTTCTTTCTTTCTTTCTTTCTTTCTTTCTTTCTTTCTTTTCTTTCTTTCTTTTTTTCTTTCTTTCTCTTTCTTTCTTTCTTTCTTTCTTTCTTTCTTTCTTTCTTTTATGTTGCTTTATTTTTGAGAGAGACAGAGAGACAGAGTGCGGGCAGGGAAGGGGCAGAGAGAGAGAGGGAGACACAGAATCCGAAGCAGGCTCCAGGCTCTGAGCTGTCAGCACAGAGCCCGTCGCGGGGCTCGAACTCACGATCATGACCGGAGCCCAAGTCGGAAGCCCAACCGACGGAGCCATCCAGGCGCCCCCTCCAAGATCCTATTTCAACGTCACCACTTCTGGGAAGGCTTCTCAATGATCCAGGCAGGGTTACTCGCTAACTTTGTTCTTTCACTGCCTTTGGTCATATTGCAATCCTTCACCGATCTCTCGCCTTTCCTGGACTTTGCAAGGGCAGAGAACCCATTCATGTCATGTATCCTGTGCCTAAGGCAGCACTCAGGGTGCGGCGTGAATAGGTTTGATGAATGAATGAAGGCCAGAGAGCAAGAGGAGAGGGCCGACTCTACCAGCAGGTGAGGCAGAGAACAGCTCCACGGAGAGAAGCTCTCCTCCGGGAATGTCTGACCAAGGGCACAGGCGGCTTGGCTGGGACCCAGCTGTTACACATCCTGTTATGCAACGGGCCATGTGGTGCTTTTCCATTCTGGTAAATACGCTTGCCCCACGGAAGACACACGGTGCTGGCTCCAGCTAGCCCGTCCACACTTTGAGAAGTAGGGAATTCACGCACAGTCCAGTTGCTGGGTCTGTGCACCGGAGGGACGTGCGGTCTGTGGCCCAGATGGCGGCTAGCATCAGATACCCCACGTCCCCATTGTATAGGTGAGAATGTTGGTCTTACAAACACTGCTGGAGTCTCGAAGGTTCCTCTCCCTGAGTTCTGGGCGCTCCTTCTTCCTCTTCCTATTCATTCGACTGGGCAGGTGAAAAGCTTGGGTTTCACGTAATTCTAGGCCCAGTAGGTGTCTCTCAAAGCCACGGAGTCCCCGTGTCCTGGCACAGCACCCTCCTGGTCACCCACTTGCCTGGCAAGAGTGCTTGAACTTTACTAAGAGCAAGCACTATCATTTCACAACTGCCACCGGCTGACGTTTGTCCCAACACCCAGGCCCCTTTTAATACTTGGGAAGATACTCACTGTCGTTGGTTTTGTTTTTTTTTTTAATGTTTATTTCTTTTTGAGAGAGAGAGAGAGCATAAGCCAGGGAGGGGCAGATTGAGAGGGAGACACAGAATCCGAAGCAGGCTCCAGGCTCTGAGCTGTTGGCACAGAGCCTGATGGGGGGCTCGAACCCATGAACCATGAAATCATAACCTGAGCGGAAGACAGACGCTTTAACTGACTGAGCCACCCAGGCTCCCCCACGATGTTGCTAATAACGATCCTAAATCTCTATTCTTGATCATGTTTCTCTACGTCAGGGGGCAAAAACTCACTAGTCGTCAGCTTATCATGTGGGCAAACAAGATTGAGAACTGAAACCCCCAAACACCCCTGAAATCCTGGAGGCAGCGTGTGAGGATGAAGGCTTACCTTTTTGAAAGACGTGAGTAGCTTGACGCTCACATACCCCAGCTTGTTCCTCCTCACGTGCTTTAGCAGGAAGGCGTCCTTCTCCAGGTTTGCATCAGAAAAGTAGAATTCGATCTGATCCACCAGCTTCCTGATCAACTCCTGGTCTGGGGGCTTCCACTCCTGCTCCCCGTCTTCATGCTCGTTCTCGCCCCCACTTGTTGTGGTGCCACTGAGACCAGAAGGAGACACGGGGCGGGGGGAAGGTTACAGGCTGAACTGCTGTCCCCCCCCTCCAAATTTCTTGTGTTGAAGTCCCAAAGCCCTGTATGTCAGGATGTGATCTTACTCGGAAATGGGGCCCTGTAGATGTAATCAGTTAAAGACGAGGTCACACCAGAGCGGGGTGGCCCCAATGCACTACGACCGGCGTCTCATCAAAAGGGGAAATCTGGGCACGCGCACACAAGAAGAACGCCGCGTGAGGATGAAGGTGGAAATGGGGGTGATGACTGGAAGTCCAGGACCGTCAAGGGTGGCCAGCAAACCACCAGAAGCCAGGGGGCTGGCCCAGAACAGACCCTCGAGGGGAGTGCATCTTGCTGACACCCGGATTCCCTACTTCCGGCCTCCAGAATGTGAGGCAATACATTCCGTGGTTCTAAGCCACCCAGTTTGTGGTGCAGCTCTAGGAAACTTCACTGGCTCCCACTCGAACTGCGCTCCTCAGAGGCGGTATCACCCGGTGATCACAAGGGGCTAAACTGTGCCCAACGAGCTAAGAAATCAAGCTTTTGTTTTTAAGGTGGACCGAGGGTCACTAAAATAACAACACAGTCTACGAACGTTTCTGTGCTGCTGTGCCATTGACGGGATGCTCTTCACATTCCCTCCTTATTCTTCCCTCCCCACTCCACCCCCCAATCCTGATTTCTGGAAGGTAATTTAGCAGACTCACTAAGAGTCCCAATCCTAGAGGTAGACCATGGGGGTTCAAATCCCGACGCCACCATTTATTAACTGAGTCAACTCAGGCAAGGAACCCCACTCCCTGCCACACCTCAGTTCTGTTATCGTCGCTCTCCTGATAGGACTGTTACGAACAGTAAATCAACTAATACATGGAAATGCTCACGTGAATGCCTGGCACACCCTGAGAACCGAGTAGGTGACAGGTACATTCATTTGCACCTCACATCTAGGACTGAAGCTCCAATTTTCTGTCCCCAAAGCCAGCACACATATCCTTTCCATGTGTCGTCGGGACCCTGCCATGGAATCGGGAAACGATACCATTCACCAGGGCCTTTCTAAATGAAACCCATACCCACCAGTAGCTCCAGCTGGACAGACTTCCTCCCCCTCTCCCTGAGAATCTTAGGATATGAGAGCAAGCCAAAGAAATCCTGAGCAAAGTTTCTTTTTTTTTTTTTTCCAACGTTTATTTATTTTTGGGACAGAGAGAGACAGAGCATGAACGGGGGAGGGGCAGAGAGAGAGGGAAACACAGAATCGGAAACAGGCTCCAGGCTCTGAGCCATCAGCCCAGAGCCCGACGCGGGGCTCGAACTCACGGACCGCGAGATCGTGACCTGGCTGAAGTCGGACGCTTAACCGACTGCGCCACCCAGGCGCCCCCTGAGCAAAGTTTCTTTAGGCAGGCAAACCTTCCACCAAGGGATTACAAACGCTTCAAAACCATACACATATAGGGACTTCGTGACGATCTGCCTCGTAGGTGACACCATTAATTCGAAGCTCTAGAAGGTGGCTTCTTTTTTGTACGCTTAATTACCACTTTAAATTATGTACTATCCACTATCATACGTATCTTATTCAACAAAAAGGATTGGTTAAAAATCACTTCCAGAGGGGCGCCTGGGTGGCTCCGTCGGTTAAGCATCCGACTTCGGCTCGGGTCACAATCTCACGGTTTGTGAGTTGGAGCCCCGCGTCGGGCTCTGTGCTGCCAGCTCGGAGCCTGGAGCCTGCTTCAGATTCTCTCTCTCTCTCTCTCTCTCTCTCTCTCTTTCTCTCTCTGTCAAAAATAAATAAATGCTAAAAAAATTTTTTTAATTACTTCCAGAAAAAAAAAATTACCACTTTCCTATGTGGCTGCTTGATTTCCAGTAACATGACCATCAGGCCCGGAGTCTCCATTAACATGTTCTGAGTAGGGAGAGCATCTCCTGGGAGGGATGCAGACACCGAGCCACCAACAGCATTCAGTGTGCTTCGACTCTGTTGGGAGCACCTGCTTGAGTCCCCAGCAGGCTCAGGAAGTTCACAGCGGCGTGTTCACAGTAGACAAAAGGCAGAACCAAAAATGTCCACTGATGGACGACTGAATCAGCAAAATGTGGCACATCCATGCATCGGAGGGAATGTTATTCAGCTTTGAAAAGGAAATTCTGATACATTCTGCCATGTGGATGGACCCTGAAGACACGATGCTAAGTGAGATGAGTCTGTCCTCAAAAGACAAATACCGCGTGATGCCGGTGACATGAAGGATCTAGAGTTGTCAAATTCACAGAGACAGAAAGGGGACCGGCGGTTACCGAGGACTGGGGAGGGGGGGATGGGGAGCTAATAGTTAATGGGTATGGAGTTTCAGGTGGAAAAGACAGAAAGTTCTAGAGATGGAAAGTGGTGATGGGTGCACAACGGCGTGAATGTCCTTAACGCCACTGAATTGCACACTTAATAATGGTTAAGATGATAAGTTTTGGGGGGAGGGTTTGGCTTTCTTTTATAAGTTTATTTATTTTTGAGAGGGCGGGTAGGGGGCAGAGAGGGAGGGAATCCCAAGCAGGCTCCTCACTGTCAGTGCAGAGCCCAACATGGGGCTTGAACTCAGCAACCGTGAGATCATGACCTAAGCCAAAACCAAGGGTCGGACACTTAACCGACTGAGCCACCCAGGCACCCTTAAAAGTATGTTTTTTAAAAAGCCTTTTAAAAATGGGATGGCACACTAAAGGAATATTTGAAGGCAGCCTATAAAAGCAGATAAAACAGGTCAAAGGCAACTTAAACATCAGACAAGCTGAGTATTTTAGAAGTTTCTAGAAGATAGCTGTGGTAGATTCAACCAACATCTGATAGCAAACTCTCGTTTACCTTTCTTTATTATGGAGGCTACAAAAAGACAAAAACTAAACTAAACATGTACTTTCTCAGCATCTGTTACAGGTAATAGCCATCTGAGCCACCTGTCATGATATGACCAGTAACACACAAGTGAAAATCTTTGGGCCCTACCTCTTCCCTTTTTGACCGATTTGAGTGTGGATGTGATGGTTGGGGCGGTGGCAGCTATTTTGCTACCAAAAGAAAAAGGCCAAAATGGGGCATCTGGGTGGCTCAGTCAGTTAAGCATCAGATTCTTGGTTTTGGCTCAAGTCATGATTTCGTGGTTCAAAGGTTCAAGCTGCACATCGGGCTCTGTGCTGACAGTGGGGAGCCTCCTCAGGGTTCTCTCTCTACCCCCCCTCTCTTTATGCCCCTCCCCAACTCAAGTGTGTGCACACACAGGCACACGCGCGCTCTCTCTCAAAATAAATAAATAAATTTAAAAAAAGGAAAAGGCCGCAAGAATTAGCTGGGCCTGATTTCTTGACATTATTGGCTCTGATATTATTGAGTTGCTGAACCAATTCCTCTACCTACCTACCTGCAGATTTCTGATTACATGGGAAAGATAATGTTCATTTGCATAATTCACCTGTTAGCTGGGTGTTCTATTACTTACAGCCAAATAGTAGGAGAGTAATACTGTTTTGACAAAGTGGTCCTTAAAACATGCTAACTGAAAAGTGTCAGTGGCACAATCAATGGGATGAAAAAGGAGAGGCAACATGGACAGAACGGATTTTCACTCCATTAGAGAAAGTGCACACCCTAAAAAGCAGTTCAACTAGATAAGTTGAATACACCAGATACAATAACTACAAACGCATGGGAAAGTCTGAGCCCCAATGACAAGGATGAGAATACAGAGGAGTTGGGATGAGGTGTATGATAATGACCAGTGAAGAGCTTTGAGTGGACTCAGATATTAGCAAAATGGTCTAACTTACTACAAATCGCAAGTATATCAGAGGTGACCAGACCATCAAAGGCACCCACACACTAGTAAGTCCTACTCCGCAACTAGAGTAGTTGAGGCTATTATAAAAAGTAATCTCATGGGGCACTTGGGTGGCTCAGTTGGTTAAGCAGTGGACTTAGGCTCAGGTCATGATCTCGCAGTCTGTGAGTTCAAGCCCCGCGTGGGGCTCTGTGCTCTCCAGAGCCTGGAGCCAGCTTTGAATTCTGTCTCCCTTTCTCTCTGCCCCTCCCCTACTCACACTCTGTCTCTGTCTCTCAAAAATAAATAAATGTTGAAAAAAAAAAAAAAAAACAGGATCCATCAGGGCACAGGGAAGTCACAAATCCAATGGAGGAGCGCCTGGGTGGCTCAGTTGGTTAAGCATCCGACTTTGGCTCAGGTCGTGATCTCACAGTTTGTGGGTTTGGGCCCCGCGTGGGGCTCTGTGCTGACAGCTCAGAGCCTGGAGCCTGCTTCGGGTCTCCCTCTCTCTGCCCATTCCCCACTCACGCTTTGTTTCTCTGTCTCTCAAAAATAAATAAATATTTTTTTAAAGTTATCTCATAAACAAATAAAACATAATGGAAGGATGGGGATGTAATTTCTCAATTTCTCCAGTGCCCATTCTAGAGCCTCCCATTCTTTCCAAGGTCATGGGAAGCCTTTACTCCCTGCAGATGATTCTATGACAAACTTGGTTGAGAAGATGACGTTCATCGAAGCAGACTTGCCCAGACCTCCCTTGGACATGCCCTCCCTCCCCACAAGCTTGTTCTATGTGTCTGGGCATCTGCCGAAGCATCCACCGCACCCAGGGGCCTTTTCTCCACCTTGGTCCTCTTACCCCTGTGGCAGGATGGGATGCTGTTGACCTCTTTCTTCTCGGTACCTCTCGCCCTGGGCTTCTGTGATTTGTCCTTTTCTGGTTCTTCTCCCCATCTAATTGCCCTTTCAGTCTCCTCACTCTGCTCCCATTTCTCCAAGGATCTATCCTTGACCCTTTATCCCCTGGCAACCAATAGGTTTCAGCTGCCGGATAGCACATCCAATTCAAATCTGCCTCTACCTACCCCTCCATCCTTCTCTCATGCCTGAGACCCCATCCTCAATTCCTAGCTGCCTGCCTGATGCTTCCACTTGGACAGCCCGTTAAAACTTCAAATCTATTATGTCCAGAATTGAACCATCACCTTCTGCAGAGCTTGACCTTGGGTCGGATTGAAGCCTAGACCTGGCAAGGGGCATTCTATCTGGGTAGCTCCTCTTTTCATACAGTCTGATGGTAAATAATCCACACTGTGTGTTTGGGGGGTGACGGGATTCTGCATCGGTTATTTGCAGCCAGTAAGCAGACAGGCAGGTAGCCAGAGATTCCAGAACAGGTGGGCAGTCCTGGGGAGGTGATATAAACTATTCTGCGAGGTCCTTGCACCCTAAGGACCCCTCACTACATGGGTGCTGTCATCGGCAACTGTATATCTCCAAAGGGGGATCCTGAGAGGCAAGGCCTTTATGCACATCTGGGAGCACGCGGCCTTCTTTCCTGCTTCGTGCAACAGCCTTTGAATGAAAAAAGACCAGTATCCTTTACGAACATTAAAGTTTATATCTCTTAAATATGAATGTTGGTACCTTTCTGTCAATTACAGCCGTCCTGCAAAAACCATGCAAAAACCTGCAAAAACCTCCCAAACTGCCCCACTGACTACTTTCCCTATTCACTCTTCTCTGCATTTAGGCTCAAAACCCAAGATGCATCTTTTAGCCCTCTCTTTTTGCCCCCACATCGAGCCAATTATCAAGTGTTGATTTTATTCTGCAGTGTCTCCCATCTGTTCCCTTTTCCATTCCAACTGTCCTCATTACTTCTCCCTTGGACACTATTAATAGCTCATCAAAAGTGAATCTTAAACATTAACGTGAAATAAACAACACAGAGCAAAAGATGAAACAACATAGTGCATAACTTACAAAGAAAGCAACGGATCCCCGCCCCCCCCCGCCGCCACCCTCTCCAACTTCACCTCTCCTCCCTAAAGGCAACCTCTAGTCAACCATTTAGTTCTTAGGAGAGTTGCCTTATGGTTCTATAAAATAAGCCCATTCTACTCCTCACATGCCAATTTTCTTTTTTTTTTTTTAAATTTTTTTTTTCAACGTTTTTATTTATTTTTGGGACAGAGAGAGACAGAGCATGAACGGGGGAGGGGCAGAGAGAGAGGGAGACACAGAATCGGAAACAGGCTCCAAGCTCCGAGCCATCAGCTCAGAGCCCGATGCGGGGCTCGAACTCACGGACCGCGAGATCGTGACCTGGCTGAAGTCGGACGCTTAACCGACTGCGCCACCCAGGCGCCCCACATGCCAATTTTCAACATTGGGGTCACTCGTCTCCCAAAGCCTCTTTTTCCAATTTTTAAAATTTTATATTATTTGGGGTTTTTTTTTATAGCCTTCTAATTGTGTTTTAAAATAATACATTTAAAATTCTGTTCCTTATTCCATCAACATTAAATGATACTTCTCACTTCCTCACTACGTACGATAGGTGTGTTCTTTCCCTCTCCTTCCATTTCCAACCTTTCAAATTCTCCCAGATGTACCTTTATGTTATTTTGTCATGGTCCATATTTACATTCTACTCTGTAACTAATATTCCAAGTTTTGTCTATAGATACTAAAAGTAGAAAGTTAATCAGTTGTGTTTACCTTTATGATGGTACAAACACTGATCTGTGCAGGGTGGAGGCATTTGCCCAGATTGCATTTCTTTCTTAAAGTCCTGTTAGTTGACCACCTGGATTGATCCTCTATAACTCTTTTTTTTTTTTTAATTTTTTTTTAACATGTATTCATTTTTGAGAGTGAGAGAGACAGAGTGTGATTTGGGAGGGGCAGAGAGAGTGGGAGACACAGAATCCAAAGCAGGCTCCAGGCTCTGAGCTGTCAGCACACAGCTCGATGCAGGGCTCAAACTCACAGACTGTGAGATCACGACCTGAGCTGAAATGGGATGCTTGACTGAGCCCACCTGGCGCCCCAATTCTCTATGACACTTACCCTCTTTTTCACATTGACCTCGTTGTCTTTGTCTTTGATTTACATTGCAAGAGATTTTCTGACGTTACCTTCTAATCATTCTTGATGAATTGTTTAATTTCAGGAATTATGTATTCTCCAAGAACTCTTTTATGTTTTCAAACTGCTCCTTTTTAAAAGCATCCTGTTCTTGTTTTGTTGATGCAGTCTCTTAAATTCCCTCTTGGGGCACTCTCCAGAGTCTACATTTTTAAAAGTCTCTTTGTTTTAATTTTTTTTTAATGTTATTATTTATTATTGAGAGAGAGAGAGAGAGAGAGACAGAGCACAAGCAGGGGAGGGTTAGAGAGAGGGAGACACAGAATCCGAAGCAGGCTCTAGGCTCTGAGCTGTCAGCACAGAGCCCGATGCGGGGCTCGAACTCACAAACTGCCAGATCATGACCTGAGCCGAAGTCGGACGCTCAACCGACTGAGCCACGCAGGCGCCCCAAAAGTCTCTTTGTTTCCAACAGCATCACCTCTATATCTTCTGGGATCAGTTTTTCACTTAATTTCATGTAATTGGTTTTCTTCATGTGATTGGTAAACAATTCACCTTTTCTTTATTCAAAATCTGTTTAAATAAACTTGTTATAGGATAATTTCAGATTTATAGAAAAATGGTGAAAAGAGTACAGAGAGTCCCCATGTATCCCACATCAGGCTTCTTCTATTATTAATATCTTGTGTTAGTACAAAGCATTTAACGAACTAATACGAATACATTATTATTAGCTAACGTCCATACCTTATTCAGATTTCCTTAGTTTCTACCTAGTGGCCTGTTTCTCCTTCAGGATCCCATCCAGGATACTAGATTCCAAGTAGTCGTTGTGTCTCCCAGGCTTCTCTTGGCTGACACAGTTTCTCGGGCTTTCCTTATTTTTGATAACCTTGACTGTGCTGAGAAGTACCGGTCAGATATACTGTAGACAGCTCTGCATTTGGGATTTATCTGATATATTTTTTTTAGGATTAGACGGTGGGTATGGCTTTTAGGGAAGAGAAGCACCGAGGTAAACTTCCATTCTCATCACAGGATATCAAGGGGACTATCAACATACCTGATCGCTGTGGACGGTGACCCTGGCTGCGGTAGTGTTATTTTGTGTCTCCACTGTGAAGTTACTGCTCCCCCCTCTCTTCCCATACTGTGCACTTTGGAAGGGAGTCACTGTATACAGTCCACACTTAAGAGGTGGGGAGTTCTGCTCCGTGGCTATTCATTTCGAAGAGTGAAGGGAGGTCTGGGTTGCTTTTTCTTGGTGGGTCCATATCGGTTCCCTCCACAGCTGTATACTCTGATTTTCTTCCTAGCTGGTTCTATATCCATGGGTGGCACATGCCAACTGGAAGGCTTCCCTTTAGGGTGCATAGGCAGGGAGTGATTAAATAGGGGCTGTATATGGAGAAGGAGTTACTCTGCAGGTACAAGCTCTACCTTAGCAACTCCAGATCATGAGCTGATTCGTTCGGCGCCTTTAGAAAATAACCTTGTTTCTTCCTTTCCTCCTTGCACGTAAACAGTGATGTTGGTTGCTCCTTTTTATGGTCAGGCAGAGAGGTAAGGCAATTGTTCTAAAGGAAGAATTTAAATTACCTCTTGGATATCAACATCCTTTTTAATCCCTGCATCCTTCACATATTTCCTAACCAGAACCTTTCTAGGGTTCTGTCTTCCCACCTCCTGCCATCTCCCTCTGCTTCCACTCTTGCTGTATTTTGGGTTAAGCCTCTTCCACTCTGTGCCTTATTACATGTTCTGAAGAACCACTATGTCCCTGCTCTACTCTAATACTAATACTAATGTTTTCTATTCTATTAAATAAAATCCAAAGTCTTTAGCCCTTTATTCAGATTCATTTAGAATCTGGCTGTAAGCAGCTTCCAAAGGTATTTTTGTCTATTTCCCTTCAGATCCTTTGCTCTAAAATAAAAGCATGTAAAAGATTCACAGATCCCTGTGTCACCAGGTTTCTGGACTCTGTCCCTTTGGGCATACTGTTCCATCTCCTTAAACATCTTGCCTTATCTCTCAGGTCCAAATCCCTGTCATACATCAAGCCCCATCTCAAAGCAGCTCTCTCAGGAAGCAAATCATTTCAACTTCTCCTAACCCTTGCCTGTACTTGTATCGAAGCTACCGTGTGCATATCTTAGTAGTGCCCTTGAACCGTATCAGTGTCCTTCATTCTGGCACGAACCGACATAGCAGGAATTTACAAAGTATTGCCGGTGTAAAGTGAATAGTTTCTGTAAGGGCAAATCTGCAGGATTCTTTGAGACAGGAAGTATGGTTACCGGTGAATAAGCCATTAGTGGTCTTTCAAGAGGACTTTGAAAAAAAGTTTTACGTTTACAGTCTTGATTCCTTTTAAATAAACCATTGTAAATTAGGAGTACTGACGTGTTCTTTTTTTGTAACGGTAAACCTGCTAGAAATTAAAGGGTAGAAATGAGGAGGTACACTTCAAAACAGATGATGGGGCTCCACAGATCAATGTTGAAATATTAATCATATTTACAGATGATCTAGGGAAATAAGTACAACATAAATCTCCAGGGCTGCCTTTCTCATAAAATCTCAAGATAATCTGGAGATATTAATTAAGTGGTTATTCAAATGACACCTTATGAATAAAAATATCCAAAATAAAATGGGGGAATAGTGAGCTCCTCACTATAGCTTTCCGTACAGCAAAGATTTCTTGGATTCATCACCTATCTCTGCAGATGGTCTAGCCAAGTATGGTGCTTTGGCCACCAATACCAAGAAAATGGCGGACAACAAGAAGGAAGATATTGAACAAAAAGGAG